GGGTCTCCAGTTCCCGGTGGGGCGTGTGCACCGTCTACTGCGCAAGGGCAACTACGCCGAGCGGGTGGGAGCCGGCGCGCCGGTGTACATGGCGGCGGTGCTGGAGTACCTGACAGCCGAGATCCTGGAGCTGGCGGGCAACGCGGCTCGAGACAACAAGAAGACGCGCATCATCCCGCGCCACCTGCAGCTGGCCATCCGCAACGACGAGGAGCTCAACAAGCTGCTGGGCAAGGTGACCATCGCGCAGGGCGGCGTGCTGCCCAACATCCAGGCCGTGCTGCTGCCCAAGAAGACCGAGAGCCACCACAAGGCCAAGGGCAAGTGATTGGACGGACGTCGCAGCTTCCGGAAACGCTTTGAAACCCAAAGGCTCTTTTCAGAGCCCCCTACCCACCTCCTAGGAAGAGCTGATGTCACTTTAGGTTAAAGGGGGAAAATGCACAGAAAGGTAAGCTTAGCTTCTCCAGAGCTCTGGGGTACAAACATTTTCTTTAAAGAAACGGCTCAGTGTTGCTAAAAATGGAGCTGCCTGTATAGGAAATGGCGGGCGATATGCTCTCGAAATAAACACGCATTTCAAACAGTCGCAGAACCTGGCTGGCTTCCAGAACCGGTTAACTGCAGCCCTGGGTTGAGGTCTGTAAACTTCAGGTTGCAGATGACAGGTCGGGGGAGGCGACCTTTCCCAGCGGGTGCGTACCCGCCCCGCCCTGTCCCGAGGGCGTTAGTCTCGGCTCCGGTTAAATAACAATCAAGCACCACCTTAGAAGCTTCTGAGGGAGGGGAACGGGCCCCCGAGACCGGTTCCCGGGCCGGCGGAGAACACAGCCTGAGTCTAGAGCCGAGCGGCGTCTTCTCCCCACTGACCGTGCTGAGACCGTGGCCAGTTCATAACCCCGGGACTCGGTTCTGTCGCCTGCAAGTCGGGGGTAAGTTGATGGCGTCTTTCGCTTCTTGGGCCAGTTAACCATTTAACGCCCCTAACCTGTAGTTTAACAAACTACATTTTATACAACTGATACGCGCTGTGCTGGGATTTCAGTTCTAGGCCCGTGTTCCCAGCGCAGCTGGAAAAGGAACACAGCAGGGCCTTTTGCTCCCCCCACAACAGTTGGCCGGGAGCCGATCATTTAGCTGCATCAACCCCAAGAAGCGCCGATCTGGACGGAGAGAAAAAATCCTTAGGATTCCCAGGCCAGCGTGGCTCAGTGGTTGAGCTCGACCTATGAACCAGGGGGTCGTGTTTCAATTCCTGGTCAGGGCACAGGCCCGGGTTGCAAGTTCATTCCCGTGGGGGGCGTGCAGGAGGCAGCCATCAATGATTCTCTCTCATCGTTGATGTTTCTATCTCTCCCTCTCCCTTTCTTTCTGAGATCAATAAATATTTTTAAAGAGTATTAGGACAGTATTTTCCAGGGTTGCATCTCACCAAGGTTTTCTGGTTGGCCCATCCCCCTACACCCCATCCTCCCTCTCTTCCCCCCTCGCCATGCAGCCAGCAGCCACAGAAGTTGCAGGAGCTGTGCTAAAGCCAAACTGGCGGGAAAACAAGTGAGCACCTGGATGGCCTCCCGTTGAGCACCTGGAGGGGGGGGGGCGGTGGGGGGGAGGGAGTGCGATTCTAATGGGACAGCTCATCAAACTGGGCTTTTGCTAAAGGCCCAGGCCCACTGAGACCAGGTTCTGTCCGCCCAGCGCTCCTTGTAGGGTGAACTGGGATCCTTGGTTGGGAATTGCCTCACCTGGGCCTCGGGACCCTTTTCACTCACCGTCCCGGTCGCCTCTGAACCCAGCCCCGACTGACCAGGTGTGTGAGCTGGGCCAGGTGCTGGCGCTCCGCCTCCTCCACGTCTTGGTCCACCTGTGGCTGGAAGGGTCCGCAGTGTGGGCTCTGAGATCAGGGCAGGGTGCTGGGGAGCCACCCAGCACATAAGCCCTCCCTGGGTCGGACACATGGTACCTGCTCCCAGCCTATGAGCTCATTTTCCCAACCCCCTTCGAGGTAAATCCTCTCCTCTCCTGATTTTATTTTATTTTAAATATTTTTTTGCATTGATTTCAGAGAGAGGGGGGAAAAACACCGGTGAGAGAGAAATATTGACTGGCTGCCTCCTGCACACCCTCTACCAGGGATCAAGCCCACAACTCGGGCCTGTGCCCTGACCGGGAATAAAACGCAGGACCTCTTGGTCCATGGGGCTATGCTCAATCCACTGAGCCATACCACCTGGGCCCCTATCCTGATTTTAAAGCTGAGGAAACCAGAAAAGAGTGAACAATTGCTGTGTCCCATGGTCAGGAAGCCAGTACTTCTAACCCCTGGCTAGTGTATAGCTCCTGCCCCTAAGACGTTACAGCCAGAACAAGAAAACTGATAAAAACTCTACACATAATAATAGGTCAATTTTGCCAACATACCATAATGTTAGAAATGGCACCCTAAACTCCGGCCAGAAGAGAAGGGAAGGAGGTGCGATGTCCCTGGAATTTCCATAGATGGCTGTGTGCGCAGTGCACACCCAGCAAGAAGTCACACGCCTGGTTTAGTGTGTGACAAGGGAAGCAGGGGGACAGGTGGGGCAATGGCTTGGGAACGGACTTGATGAGCTGTGGTGAGCAGTGAAAGGCGTTAGCGGATCCTTGAGTTTGAAGTCTCTCCTCCAGGCACCAAAAACCAAAGGTTCTATTTAGTTACTTAGTTGGGAATGATAGGCTGTGTTCGTTTCATTTGTTTATTACGTTTGCAGCAAGACCTTCAAGTCAAGGACCTCATCTTGTTAAAATGTTGATAGCGCACCCTAACTGGTTTGGCTCTGTAGCCAGAGCATCTGTGGACTGAAGGGTTCCATGTTCAACCCCTGGTCAGGGCACAAGCCCAGATTGCAGGCTCAATCCCCAGGGTGGGGCGTGCACGAGGCAGCCAATCATTGATTCTCTCTCATCATTGATGCTTCTATCTCTCACTCCCTCTCTGAAATCAATAATAATAATAAAAAGTTGGCTGATAGCATAGAGGCCCTGGCGTGAAATCGACACTGAGAAAGTCCGCTGGTGCGCAATAAACTCAGTGGCTTCCCTTGAGCAGGTCTCTGTCATGTCCCCAGGGGAATGGATGAGCGTGAAAAACCCAGGACCTGCAATCTCCGAAGACAGCCCGGAACCAGGGACGAAGGTGATCCAAGGCAAGCATGTCAAACTCCCGGCCCACGGGCTGCATGCGGCCCACAAGGACTATTTCTGCAGCCCGGCCAGGATAACGGTGAGCAGTTACTCACAATGATGAAAGGAAACACGTCTCCTGTCAGATCCAGAATCACTGACGTTCACCTGGGGTCAGTTTTGAAAGTAATCCTTGCCAACAAGATTTCCCCCGAAGTAGGAGAGAGAGTAGCAGAGCAGAGATGCCAAGTGTCAGGAAGAAAACATGAATTTTATCATTGCTCTTGCGCTTTTTTTTTAATACTATACTTTTCTAAATAAACCTACGTTTCTATGAGAATGGAAGCTTTTGTTTTGTTTTGTTTTTGGCCCACAGAACTTAAACCTTGTTTATTTGGCCCGTGTTAGCCTTTGAGTTTGACATGCTTGGTCTACGTAAGGGGGTTACTGAGTAGCCGGGCCGAGGCAGAATCATCAGTGGGGTCTCTGGGGCGTCCCAGACACCGCACATCCGCTTGACACAGCATCACTGTGTATTAGGCCTCTTTTTATTATCTCAGAGGAAGGGAGAGGGAGAGGGAGAAAGAGAAATACCAATGAGGACAGAGAATCATTGATTAGGCTGCCTCCTGCACACCTCCCTACTGGGGATGGAGCCTGAAACCTGGGCATTGAGCCGTGACCTCTGGGTTCATAGGTGGATGCTCAAGCACTGAGCTACCCCAGCGGGCTAAACCTCTTTTTATATTTTCAACTCCTCTATGCAGCAATATCCTTTCCTTCATCCCCACACCTCACTTCCTGTTTTTTAATGTGTCATTTGAACTCTTTTTTCACAAGTGTGGTAAGTTTTATTATGAGTTGCAAACAATCACATGTATTTTAAGGTTAGAATTAGGTTAACATGTAAGGGTTTTTCATCTGTTGATCCTAATTTAGAATTACAAATGCAAATAACTATTCCTGTCAAGTATCATGTCTGAGTATTACTGGAAGATGTTAGGAATTCCATGGAGGATCCC